AATATCCCCAAGGCAGTACACTCTGCACCACTGCATTCAATATATTTATCAACAATGCTGAAACATCCAGGCCTCCATATCTGGGCTTTTGGGTACAATGCATTGAGCAAGAATAACTTTGGCTTGTTTTCTAAGAAAAACAATACGAGGAAGAATCTCAGGCATAAAAATGATTTGGGAAAATGTCACACCCAATGATGTTGTTAAAGGTTTTTTGTAAGCCTTAATACATAGTTTGTTTTCTGTTTGTTTTATATTTTGCAAAATAGGCAAATCCATTTATGAGCTTGTTAGAGATGTTGCATTGCCCACCTATGAAATAATAAGATTAAGAAGATTTAGATGTACCGCCACATGAAATGGTACACCAATGGAATACAAACTGAACTTGCACGATAATAACAGAGCTTATGATAGGTGAAAAACTCCAACCAACAGGCCAGTGATGATATGCAAGATTTACAACCACACTAGAAAATCACATACTGTAGCTGGAAGATAAACCATTTCAAAATGAAATTTCTAGAACAGGAGTCTACACCAGTACTCAGTTGCCTGGTTGCTGTGGGTTTTAGAGGTAATAATCTCTTACACTTGTATAGCGCTTTTCTGGACACTCCACTCAAAGCACTTTACAGGTAATGAGGACTCCTCTCCACCACCACCAATGTGCAGCATCCACCTGGATGATGCGACGGCAGCCATAGTGCGCCAGAACGCTCACCACACATCAGGCTTCATAACTCTGCTCTCCTCCCCACTGATAGCTGATAATAATAATAATTGCTTACATTTGTATAGTGCTTTTCTGGACACTCCAATCAAAGCGCTTTACAGGTAATGAGGACTCCCCTCCACCACCACCAATGTGCAGCATCCACCTAGATGATGCGTTGGCATTCAAAGTGCCCCAGTATGCTCGAACACATAAGCTAGAGGTCTGACAATTACTGTATCATCTGATTAAGACCTGGAAAACTGAAGATCTGACTTTTTTTATCAACTTCATTAAATTACATCACTAAGGTCTGAGATGGAATGAAAAGTCATAACAAATGAGACACTCCGGGACTGGAGCTGCCTACCTCTGACATAGGAGTATTTAACTGATGGCATGTATTGCTTCCATTCTGCTAAGTCTCTATGTTAGCAGTGTAAAAAGATGTGTCAAAGAATGAGGAAACGTATGTCAGTTACACCTTTATTCTCAGAATGCGACATGCTTATAGAGGAAGAAATTTGATTTTGGAGGAAACATGTCACAAGACTCCTTATAAACAGCAGAATGGAATAACAACAGAAGATAAAAGTATTTATTTTACTAGTTGGCATAAAATGAAATGAGTAGGCATAGGGGATACAGTTTGCATTGCAGGCTGTGTTTTGCTGGAAAGCTCTGTAGCCACCATTTGGTCAGATCCTAAGCCAACAATTATTATCGCCAAGCCCTTGGACTGGAAGAATTCTGAGGTGTCCTTTTCATTAGAAATGAAGAGTGGTGGGGAAGAAGGTATTTTTTGTTATTAACGATGCCTTGGCATAAAATATACTTCTCTACTCCAAGCCAGCTAGCTGCTTGCACCCAACAGAGTTGATTTCTGGGCTCCAGTACAAGCCTGCTCTTTAGCTATATTTGCATGATGTCCTTTCTGGGTATGTCAGGTAGCAAATAAGGAAAAGTAATGAACATTAGTTACAGTGGACTCAAGAATTATTGGAACCCTTGATATAGATTAACTTCATAAAAAGCCATGTAAAATACACAGCATAGAATATGAGCTTTATTTTATGCTCAAAATGATTACTAAAACTACAGGATTTTAATTTTAATACAATTAAAACACTGGATCCCCATTGTTCCTTTTTAAGAAAATCAAACAAAATGAATCCTGTTTATTTAAAATACAGCTCAGTCATAAACAATATTTTTAGACTTTCAACAGGATATAAAAAAAAGAGGTACAGCGTAACACACATGAGAAAATCTTTTTTCTATCCATCACCAAGGGGAAAGGTAAAGAACTGACAAATTAAAAGAGGCCAATTAAAATGGTTGATCTTCAAAAATCAAGTGCATCTCTTCCCCTGTCACTTACAGTGAGGAAGATGGTGGGGGAGGGAAAAAAGAACCAGAGGGCTGCAGCTGGAGAACTGCAGGGTCTGGTTCCATCTTGGGATCATCAAGTCTCCAAATCACCAATTAGATGGTATATCCATGCCAACAGGCTATATGGAACGGTTGCCAGAAGAAAGACCTTACTGGCAATTAGAAACAAACTGAAGCTGCTGGAATATGCCAGACGCCACTGGAACTTTGATTGGAAGCAGATGCTATGGTCGGATGAGACCAAAATGGAACCTTTTGGCCACTCACACCATCTGTACTTTAGGCGTCAGAATGTACACAAAGCAGAGATCAATCATACACACCGTAAAATATGATTGTGGATTGTTCATGTTGTGGGGCTGTTTTGCTGCAACTCGCCCTGGGGCCTTTGTTAACAGCAATGATATCACAAACTCTGGCCAAATACCTGGTTGCTTCTGCCAGAAAGCTGCGACTTAAACACCCCTACCACCTGACTGACCCTCAACACACCTCAAAATCAACAAAAAAAAAACGCCCGAACGCAAACAAAAATCAACGGTTTGCAATGGCAATCTCACTGTCCGGACTTAAACTCAATTGAAAACCTGTGGTCTGAATTGAAGAGGGCAGTCTATAAGCGTAGACCTATTTACATCAAGGATCTGAAAAACTGTCTGCATAGGGGAATAGTCCAAGATCCCTCCAAAAGTGTTCTCCAGCCGTATAAAACATTATAGGAAAAGGCATTGTATTGTTATCCGCGGAAGAGGAGGTAGACACAGGGGATACAATCATAATACCTATGTATAACAGTATTACTCATTTAAAATAATTGTTATGAAATAAGACTATTAGAATAAAAGTCTCTAGTTTTCCAATTCTGGGGGGCATAAAATACAGTTTATGACCTGTGCTGTTTATTTTATACAGCTCTTCTGTTCATATTTATCAAAGGTGCCAGTAATTCTTGAACCCAATATAACTTAAGACTGACAGCATAAACAACTCTTTACAAGGCAAAACCGCTATAATTCCTTCCCCTCCTGCTGCCCTCCAGATTTTCCATCAAACAGAAATAATTCTGCTCATGTGTATAATGACTCATCTTTTGAAAGACCAGACTAAATTCATTGTACGCAACTGTAACAGCATATTGAAAGACACGGTAGGGGATAATCACTCACATGGCAGGTTTAGAGACCTCAAGCTGACTTTATGAAAACATTAATGTTGTCAAACAAGCCAAGTTCCTTTTACAAATGTTTGCATAATCAATGTTAACTTACGGTTACCCCAGTATGTTGCTGAATAGGAGCCCATTAACTTAATGAAACATCTACATTTTTATTGCGGAAACTGGATCCTAAGCAGAGCCGATTCATGAATAATGGGCATACAACATCTACGATTGCCAATCCATTTGCTACAGACAAAAGCAACCTTAATGAACTGTACTGCAGTATCGAAATGTAGTCAAATGTTACATTTGGAAAGTCAAGTCGGTGTTAGTGCTTAAAATGTTTTTTAAACATTTAAACATTTTAAAACACCTTCAAATATTTTGCACTCAACATGATAGCAATTAAGTACTCACTGTTTGGAAGCTATAACACTAGCTTGTAGAGGCATTTAATTGCATATACAAAATTTCCATTTGTCACCGAGCTTCAGTAAAATAAATACTATATGTTATCTTAAAATACACATCATACACATTAATACTAATTCTCCATTGGATTTCTAGAAGTCACAAGGAAAGCTCCAAATAAAGTACTAGAAAATAGGCTCACCTCATATATACTGTAAGTCAGATAAAAGTACAGGTAGACCTAGAATTACCACATATGCGACTTACGACCACTCGCACTTACGACGGCAATCACCTTAATCGTATTACCATACAGTACTGTATATTATTTTCCTGTCCCGGCATTTGGTCGTAATGTCTAACATTAATGTCGTCATCAGCCTACATCATCAAAATGTTATTGTTTGGGTAAGCAAATGGCTAGCAAGCAAAAAAGTGTTCTGGTGGTGCCAAAAGGAAAAATCAAAAGCGAAAGACAATAGATTTAGAAATGAAAGTGAACATAATAGTGCAGCATGAAAATGGGAAAATTGGTATCGAAAACCACTAGAGACTTTGGCTTTTCTCATTCGACAATATCCACAATATTAAAGGACAAGGAAAGAATTCATGAACCAGTGAAAGGATCAGCGCCTATGAAACATGAGTAAAGAGTAAAATTAGTGAAAAAATATAACAAAGCCGTATTACACAATGTAGCATTTATGCATGTACATTTTTTACACATCCATATGGTTCGTGTAGCATAGCGATACACACAATTGCGATTTTCGAACCTAACCTCATCAATTCGAGAAAGCATTATTTGACTCTCATTGTTAAACTCGGCTCTCATCTCCTTCAATAAGGAATAGACCAGAAATTTGAAAATGAAGGATATACATTTATTTTCGAAGACAACTTAAAAGTCTGAAAATGTTGTAATTGACCATAATGGAGATTAGTAAACAATTCCTAAACAAAGCTTTTACCGGAGTCATAAAGGCAAGCTTCAACTATTTATTATACCACAGTTATTCTCCTTTGGTCACTAGTCACACTGAATATCAGGTGTACAAATATCAGGTTCATGTAAGATGAACAGCATTGATAAGCAACCATGCTTAAGGGCTCAGATTATCTTCGGATTGAACAGAGCTTTATGCTACAGTTACTAATTGAAGTGGCTCCTTTCAAGTGACAAGCTTGAGCATTTTTATCTCTTCATCATTGTACAAACCAAGACTGTTCCGTGACTTTAGATTTTAATCTGCTTATAAACATGATTAGACTTCATGTCAACCTCAAGATTTGTATGATTATTTTACAAGGTACAATGCCTACCTTAAGAAGATCTCTTGGGAAATCCTGGCCTCCATTTAGCCCATCCAGATTGTTGATGAACTCCTGGCATGTCATCTTCTTTCCAATATTCTGTAATAAGCCAGAAGCATTTATCACCGAGTTAATGTGAAAGACCAACTATCCATCATGATTCAAGGCCTAACTTAACCCCATCAACAAGATGAAACATAAGGTATTCAATAACATCCAAAAATATGCAATATAAAACAATACATACAAAAAAATGTGCTTAAAGCTGTTTTCCACAAACAAATTGCAACAACAGTATAAAATATCCCATTTGATGGCATTTTTCCCCACACAGTAATCATGTTTCTATAGAATACCAAAAATCAAGAAGAAAAGTCTTACAAAGACATAATGCATCAAAAGGATGGTTTGTCAGCATTTTACAGCAAACATTATTTTTTCTGTTCCCAGATAAGAAGTCCAGCAATCCCAGTAACATCTGGACAATGGGGCCCAGACTATCTTCACAATAGTTGAGCTAGTCAGGAGCCCACATTTGTGCTAAAGTTTCCCATCTAAATTTCCTCTCTTGAAAAGCATTGCATTAGGATACGGACAGGAAATTGTATTTGACAACTTCAGGGTTTTTTTTAATTTTCCTTGTACTCCTGTTTGTCACTCTAGACTGCTCAATAGCACGTGGTTAAGGTCAAGAGGCTGAGGAAGCCACTGCATCAGTGTCAGAATCTGCTCAGTTTATCAGAGGGTTTACAATTATGTTGAAAAATAAAACCTTGACCCCATGTTGGCCTTTCGTGAAGGTTCTGCATGATACCTCAGCAAATACTGGATGCCCTTATTTTGACTGTATTTTGTGTTTGTGCACCAATAATAAAAAAAAATTGTTTTACTTTAAACATTACACAGGACTGCGAGGTTTCAAGGAATTAAATAAAATATGATGGTAACCTAAAAAAGGAAGAGTGCTAAACAGAATATCAATCGCAAGCGATCCCCGGGCTTTGATTAGTGAGGTACAAAGCACAATCAACACAAAACAAATTTCTGTGTAAATGGAAGTGGCTGAGGCAGAAACAGGTTGGTGATTTTTATGGCCCAGCCTAATCATTTCCTAGTGGATTATTTTACGAGAGCACCTGCAGTATGACAAAAACGTTTGACCTTTAAGTTGACTTACAGCAAAGGAATGCGAGACAGAAATTAAATGATGACTGTGTTCCTAAATTGTAATGAAGTGAGATTCTGGATTTATTCTTTTTGTAGTCACACATTACAAGATGGATGTCATTGGTATTTGTGTCATTTGGGGCCATGCAGATTTGTTTCAATGGTTTCCCCAAAATAATTTACCACATCTTAAAACTCCCAAATTGTTTCCTATATGTACAAACGTTTAATTCACTGATTTTTACTACTCAGTCTCTACTTTCGAATTGCTCTTTATTTAAAACCTTTCCTTGCCATTTATATATGGTGGTATTTATAGCATGAACTAATTAATTTTCTTTAGGACTTTTAGGCTCTCATGCAATTAACCACTTGTTTCTAAACCACAATTGTTTCTAAACTAATATGCCTTTAAATATACATACACAACAGTTAACAAAGGACTTTGTTTCAGTTATTAAAACAAGATGTATTCTGAGTACGGTATGAATATGATACATAAGGATATAGATGACATTTACTGCATTCACATGAAATAGGTGAACAGTTCTATATACTTACAAGTTGACAATTTGCTCATTTAAAAACCTGTACAAAAAGCCTGATCAAACTTCAACCTTCATAATCTCTCATTTATATGAAACTGCAGAATAAAATCAACAGCGTTCTCAAAATTACACTGCTTCCAAATTATTTTACTGAAACATCATGTAAGGCAATGTTAAGGGCAAAACCCAAAATCATCTGTAAAGGCCTACAAACCCCTACTTAAATGTCTTGTTTCTTTTATACTTCAGTGCAACATCAAACGTGAATACCTTTAATTTTTGTTATTTAAAATATATCCTTCCACTTAAGTGAAAGTTTTCCATCACATGCACTGTGACCTAACGTACAATCCACATAGAAGAGTTTTCTGAATTTCACTTATGACAACTGACTGGGCAAAATTATTGTGATTACAATTTTAAGTAAAACACATTAATCCACTCTGTGGCATTTTTTGTTCCTACTTCACTCTGTTTTAGGGATGCCAGATACATACATTTTTTGGAAGTCAAATGAGAAAATATTTATATAAAATTTGAAATATATAAATATTTTGTATTTATATATTAACATTTTACATTTATACAACAGTATAAGGAACATGAGCATGAAATACATCAATCCATTTTCTAATCACTTCTTCCAATTCAGGGTCATGCAGGAGCCTATCATGGCAAGCACCAGGGGCAAGGCAGGGTACACCCTGGAGGGGACACCAGTCCATCACTGGATATTATGACAAAATAATGGAATTCTTTCTATGTCACACTAAAGTATAAAAAGGACTCATTTTTTGTGTTTGAGGGCAGACACAGAGACTGTATGCACACACTCATACCTACAGCAAGACCAATCTTCGCAGGCAATTAACCTACCAGTTTGTTTTTGTACTTGGGGAAATAAACAGAATATCCAGAGTAAACCCACAGAAATGTGGGGAGAACATACAAACCCCCTGCAGATAGCACCCCAGATCCAGGATTGAACCCAAGTGCTAAACATTGTGCCACCATGTACGAAGTATAATGTATATTTTGATGTAATTTCTTCCATGCACACTACTTGCATTTTATGATACTGCAGGGATTTGTTTTATTAATTGCACAAACATAAAAACAGTTTATTCACAAAAAAGGGCACGTAAACAGTGTATTATCCTTGTATGTCTCAAAAATGCAGCTGATTCAGTATTTCCTTTAAGTAAACTACAGTATCTATCCATACCTCAAGCTGTAATGGCAAAACCTAAATATCTATTTTTTCCAAATGCATTTGGAACTGCTGTTTACAGCTCTCCAGCTAAAGATTCCTGCAGAGCCTTTGAAAGAAGGAGACAAAGACAAGATCCACAACGCCCACCTGGAGACCTGCTCATCGTGTGGTAGGCTGCAAACTCCACAGTGCCCGACCGAAAAGTCAGCTCCAACTGGAGGAGCATCTCTCACATACTCTCAGCAGGCCTGTAAGCCACCCAGCAGGCCACAAGAGTCACTGATGTTCAGGGAACCACAGTTGATTACTGCCAACCCAGGTCTGCACTGGCACTGGCACTTGAGGAACCCCAGTTCAGGCACCTAGTGCCTCTCGCAGTGGCACCATCTAGATCACCAACCTCAACCTGCGGTCTAGCCTAGAGCCGTTCCAGCTTGAGGCCGGGAATTCAGTCATTTTTAATTAAAATTACATATATAGATCAAACAAAATGTAAGCTGCATCTGTATTTATCACTTTCTAGCAAATCACCACACACATCTAAACCATCACCCACTCCTTTGAACAGGGTGTCATTTCCTGACTTTTTCTGAGGCACACAAATATCCACAAAATCATTTAATTCTATTTTTTTTTCCTGCTGCATAATTATCTAGCGCTATCATATAGCACAATTCTAATCATCTGTTGAAAAGGATTCTCATATCTGTTTCAGGCAGAAATGAAAAGCAAATACACAGTGGAAAGCTGTATTACATATTAAAGAACACTGTAACACAAAAGTATTTCTGTAAAATTTGAATATTTGTCTTTGTGTGACTTTTTGTGTGCATATTCATATTATCTGAATCACACATCAAGGGAGCATCTAAAAGTGTGCATATACCTGTACCTTGTGGAAAGATACTTGATGAATTTGTTTATACAATGTGGTTCTAGACATTGTAATGATGTGAACCACAAATTAATCTCCTAAGGCTAAACAATCAAATTACAGGAAATCACTCCAGGGTAGTACAAGTATAAATTCCATTTGATCAAGCTTAGGGAAGCAGACATAGGTATTAATGTAACACAGTGTCTGCAGGCTTATAAAGACAGAAAACACTAAATGCATGATTAACTGGTTAATATCTTCTTAGATAGCTGACTATTAACAACTTAAATAACAAGCTATGATGTTTAAAAAGAATAATATTCAGCATACACACATTAAGCAGCTATTCTAATGCAGAAAAATAAAGCTGTATATTTGTTCTGTAGACACTGGACACCAAAGTCTGAGCAGACGGTGTTTGTTCTTCAATGATTATAAAGATCCTGCCAGCATAAGCTGAGTTGTAGGTGGGCAGCAGTAACAAATGTTCAGACTGGGAAGCAATCTAATAACAAGCTAAACAGCAATGAAATTAAGCCAATAAATAAGAATTTTAAAAAAATTATCTCAAGACTGTAAGCAGTTGAAAAAAAATATTATACCATACTTCACAAAGTAATTACATACTTAAATCCCTTTTTCTTTAATTTATTATTTTCCTGTACAGTCTTCTCCCACTGGTTTCTGACTGAGCATGAAGAAAACTTCACTGTGCCTCGTGAGTCATATGACCAAATACTGTCACCTAAAATAGTAGCAGTCGCAGTAATAGTAGTAATAAAAAATACCATCGGCACACATTAAAAAGCCAGACATGTATGGTTACAGACTGTAGATTTCTATTTAACTTTAACAAAACCAATCATACTGTATATTTCTAACAATTCTTTTACACAAACAATTGAAATACAAAACCAAAATAACCTACTGAATTGCTAAAATTAGGCTGCAAATGGCCTCACCAGCTTTAATAGGGCTTAGAACTACCGGAGATGGAATGCAAGAATCTTTGTGAGGACTCAGATTAATAAAGAAACACCAGTTTCTGCCATTCAATATTGCACATGTACAGGCTTCAGCTACTGTAGCTTAGAAAGCTCTGTGGCTCAGCCTCAGCAAAAGGGTACATTCATGCACCTCCCTGGGGTCCAAGGTTGTAGACAAACTGCTACTGGTATTAAAGTGACAGGACTATTTCTTTTTTTTAATTTTAGAAAAGAAACAGCAATGACGAGCCAAGGAGATAAAAAAGAAAACCCAACTTACCACCTAGTAAGTAAAATAGGGACAGCCAGAAGATCCAAGGAAGATAAAGAAACATTGGCAGGAAGGAAATAATGCAAAAGAAGGAGTTAGTAATATGCAGGCAACTCACATGCAATTACATTCCAAACAAAGCAGCAACATGCCTTTTATGTACAGAATGCACTTTAAAGTAAATATTACTACTAATAATAATCTTAAGATAGTATTCAACTTTCAAAAGTATCAAAGTTGAGCCAAAAATGAGACAAAAGAGATTTTGGGATTATTAAAATCACTATGGAGAAATATCTCTACCAAACCTGTTTTGAAGGTCTGTTATGAATTACAATATCCATTAAATGCTACACACAATATATTTTATTGAAGATCATCTTCTTATTTTATTTATTTTACCTAGTACTACAATACAAATGTTAAAGACTGAGCGAAGCCCAGTCCAATGTACTTTAAAAAAACCTACTGTATGGTAGATACTTTTTTTGTATTCTTGAGGTCACCCAGGACTTCTGTTTAGCAAAAATGCACAGAAACTTGAATTAAAATTGAACAGAAGTCAGGAGGTCATTTGTTACATATAAACCTCTGATTTCTGGAGGAGAGATTGCTTCAATGCTGGAGACAGGTGTTTTGAGGTGAAAGAAATATTATACTCTGAGAAGGTAAACCAAAGATTGGAATCAAGGTAAGGAAAAATAAAGAGAAACCCTGGGTTTGTGAGCATGAAAATTGCTTCAGAAAGAAAAAGGAAAGGAAACTGGAAAAATTTGAAAGAAATCTATTGGTCATTAAGTTTCAAGACTTAATTAGGAGAATGCACTTTTCCAGGTATTTTCCCTAAAATGATACTTAAAAAAAGTCAATAATGATTACAACATGTAAATCATTTTTGAATTATCACTTCTATCTGTGATGTAGGTCTTTGTATGTTTACCTTACATTACATTGATACATTACATTAGCACTAACCAAAATTCACAACTTATTTTGTAACTGCTTAAATGAGGACGTATGTGTGTGGATTCTATTAAGACTGTCAAATGGAACCTACTGGCTACTTGCATTTCAAGGTTGGCTGTCCAGTGCAGACTAGGAGGTTGGTAAGTGCATGTTTGTTTTATTAGACATGTTTCAGCTATGCTAATGCAGATTCTTCAGGCAAGTTATCTGCACAAATCTCTGAATGTTTGCCAGAGATTGAGAGAATGAAGATCATTAATAAAACAACAGTCAATTAGAGCAGAGAACAGTGCTCTAATATCAACGCTTCTTAAAAAAACAGTCTGCCACCTAGTGGCATATCCCAGCTGGTTGTTTATATGAGAGGGGAGTGAAATTAACATTTAAACAAACCTTTAAAAATGTTTCCACAGCAACAATAAATCATTTAAGGATATTTACTGCAAGACTGCAAGCTGTTAAGTAGGCTACTATATATAACAGATTTCTAATTTAGTACTTACATGGCCATGAAGGTCAGTGTTTAGCAGCATCAAAGCACACGTAAGGCAATGAACTCCATCTGTAAAAATGTGAGAAAAACTATGAATGTGGTGTACAACTTGCATTTGGTTTAATTTGATATCACTTAATAAAAAAAATTATTGAAGCTCCTAACAATGCCAACTGCTTTTGATAGATGCATACAGACAGAACTGATAGACATAAACAGGAACGCAATTTCATATTCACACACAATATATTCTAAAAGAATTATACAGTTTTCTAGGCTGATATAGGCAGAAATAAAGCAATGCATCCCTAGTGCAATACAAACTATGAACACTATACCTATCTGGAAAAAGTGAGATTACAGTTGCTGTAAGCTCTAAATGCAGATCAATAGTTAAACATCCATCACTTATATAATAGAAAAAGACAAAAACAAATATGTACACTGCCACTAACAGTTTGGTGAACAAACCAAGGAAACATTACTCCATAAAGCAACAAGAAACATCAGTATCATTTAGGGATAGCTATGTCTAACAGTATTCTTAAAATTACAATGGCCCTTGTCTGCATTTTTAACAGTTCTCAATACTAAAAATAGTACGCAGGGGGAGAGAACCTCAGGAAATTGCTCTCTTGCTTCTCCACTCAGATCACAAGGAAAAGCAAATAGCCCTGACTTGACTGGCAAATATTTATCACTTTAATTCTCATCCCCACAGCAGCATGAACCATAGATCCTTCAGACGCTGAGCACACTGTTAATAAATAATATTGTAATCAATGTCAGGACTGCAGCTATACATCAGCCAATAACAGATACATTTTGGTCACACATCTGATGGCACAGAGGAGGAAGCGTTTTAGGAAGCCTTTTAAAAAGTGCTGCTCCCTTTGTGTGAAGTCTAACCTCCGAAGGTTTAGGACAGCTTTAAACTCATAAAAATAAATCCAGAACTTCATTTTTACATATCAGGTCACTCAACTGTTTATGTATACAGGGGCATTTTTTTCCTAACAGAATGTAGTGAAAGCAAGGCTGTAGCATTTTTAAAGACAAAGGTAAACGTTCAATGAAGCAAAGACTTGAGACCAACATTTTTTACGGTTATGAAAACTTCCATGAATATCATATCCAACCTGTAATGCTGGCCTTTAAAATTAAGAATATTTTGTTATGCAGTCAGTGGAAAGCAAAGACCTGCTTGTTTTCCCACTTTATGCAAAGATGAATAATGCAAAACAAAGGGGAAACAATAATAAAGAAAAGAAAGGGAGAGAAGTAGATAAAGAGTAAAAATGTAATTTAAAATAAGCCATTGTCTGTGGATACTCTACTACAAAGGAGATTAAAAGAGAAGTTAATGTTGGCCTAGGAGCTAAATGGAGTTCTGCTCCATCAGATAAGGCTACCAGGCAATGCAGCATTTCCTTCCAAGCAGCAGCTTTAATTCATATCTAGATTAAATCAACGTTTAAAAAAATATTTTTGATAGTACCGTTAGATTAAACATATTTCAGCTATATAGTATTGAATTCTACAGTATGTGGGTTACTTTTTCCAATTCCCCAGTGTATGTGCCCTGCACAAAAAAGAGACTATTTGCTTGGTCGCTTTTTAGGTTATGTCCCTCCCCTTACAATACATTAAGTCCCACATACCTCCAGAATAACAAAGGTGTACTTTATACTTATTTCTTTGCACAACTATTTGTTTTGTTGTAAGAGTTTATACATTTATAAATATATGCTAGGATGTTCCACAAATGTAACTTTTTCTGTGAGCTCCTTAAGGGATTTGTTACATTGATGCTTCATAGCTACTAGCCAGAAAGTATCCAATATAGGGTCTCATGTTTTAGCTGAATTTATTTTTTATATGTGCAAAAAATACTGAATGATGCACTATATGGACATGATCGCGCATTTAAATATTCTTTGATTTGTGAGTGTCAAACGGTAAAAGAAATAAGATGTTTTCGTTTACATGCACTGACGAAAAGCTTCGGCTTACTGTTCCAATATAATGATGATACTTTTTGAAAGAGTAATAGATGAGATCTGCTTCTTTTTGTCATTTCATTTCGTGCTTGGTTTGCAAACGATTCTTTGGTGCGGTTTCTTGCGGGAATCTCATTTGTCTTTCCAACTAAAGTAACAAGTCTAGAAAGGAAATTCTTTAGAAGAGACTCCTTGAGATGCAATGCAATGTGAGGAAATGAGACAGGGAATTAGAGCAAGCAGGTTTCCAAGCGCTACACAGAGCTAATTTGCTTCCCCAAAACAGTTCCTTGTAATCAGCTCTGAGAAGTGAGAACAGGAAATGTATAGAACAAAAATCAAGTAACAAGAAATTCAAGAATGGAATTATCTTATAAGAAATATGATAACAAGTGATGCACTTAAATAGGCTTTTTGAAAAACTAGAATCAAACATGTTCAGCTAATTGTACGGTGGTTTATTCAAATGCTTATAAAGAACATTATTCCCTCAGCAAAAGTCTAAAATCAATACCTTGTGAAGAAATGGTGGCAGGGTTACACTGATAGTACCTATTGGAGAAGTGGATTAAAACCCTCTCTCGCTCCTGGGTTTCACCCATTAGTGCAAAAGCTTTCAGAAAGCGTCTGTGAGAAGAAAAAAGCAACAATTAGTATGAAAAAATATGCATTCATGAAAATCAGCAACACTGAATACTAACGACAGCACTTAAACCACATTTATCAGCAAATGCTGCTTTTAAAATACTGAACATGTCTGTATTTTGAGAAAACTATTTCTGAGAACTGCTGTGAAGGAGTTGTGGAAATATTCTTTATGCGTCAATTTAAAGCACACAGATGTAACTAAATTAAATCATTTTGAAGGTAGCACTGCACCTAAAACAAATCTGTTTTGGTAACATCTGTGAGTCAAACTGCAGGAGATTATGAAATTGCAGATTTTAGAAAGATCCCAAAAGGTATTAAGTCCATCATCAATATTTCCCACCCAAACTTATAATACAAAACACTGAAGTATTTATTGAAATACGATTCATAAGCCGACTTACTGTCACACCCACATCAATGTCACAGATAGAAATGTACAGTATCAACAATGTGTGCAACATCCTGGGTTTGCAAATACAGATGGGCAAAATCCTGCAGATGAATAAAAATGTGTAGGACCTCCTCAGACAGCCCATACCACAACCTACCTATCGGTGCTGACCACTAAAGACAACACTATTCTTCCCAATAAAGAACAAAGTCCCCATTACTGTAGATGTACAATATTACCCAGCCTTTCCACGTGCACTGACAGGACGAAGAAATAATCCCACAGTAGATTCAATGCTAATCACTGACCTACCAGTAACAAATGTGAGGTCCAGATCCTGTCTGCACCTTCTAACATAAGGAATACTGTACAGCTAGAAACATTCTGGCCATCCTTACTTTACAATATCTGCACAGCACTTCAAAAAACATTCTTTTATGAATGTGAATATACAATTATATCACAGAACACAAGAAATTTTGTTATGTTTTCTTTTTCAAATGAATGGAAATTGATGAGCTACTTCTGTATGTACTGTATTTAAGTTGAATGCCAGCTAAAGCAAACATACCAGAAAAAAAATACTAAAATAAATTGAGGAATGTAGCTTGTTTCCAAAACTTCACACAGACAGATAAAGCGACATTACATAATAAAAACAAAGAAAGGCTTTTGGGAGCATTCGCAACAAAGAAAATTATATGTGCAGTTATGTTATAATGAATATTCTGCAGTAAATAAATAGATATAATGAGATCATCACTATTTCTAAAGAACTGATTTTTGTTTTGTTCATTTTTTTTTGTTTTGTTTTTCCCAGTAGACAATTGGTATTTAACACCCCCACACTCTTCCAGTAATCTGCAAGCTTCTGATGCCTCTGTTCCTTCAGATGACCTCTTCACAAACCAGGGCGTAATTTAGCACTAAGATATGTAACAGATGTGCCATAAAATACCATTCTGCAATGAACAAAAACGTCCTATCTTAAATGTTTTGTGTTGCTGTTAACTTACAGTTATTCCGTGTTTATGCCAAATGATGTAAAATATGGAAATCTAACTTGGAAACACTCTGATTATTTATAGAATAGGATTTAATAAACATACCACTTCATGTCAAATATATCATATTATCTTTCTGTCTTAAATTCTAAGGTACACCTTGATTGTTGTACACCTTAATAAAGTTAATTTTTAAGAAATGTTTTAACCCCTTCAAGCAATATTCAGAGAACTCTGTCTCTATCAGTTACAACAGTGTTGAGTTCATTGACAGCCCAAAACAGAATTTATAAAGCCTTATCTTTCAAATACGTACTGTAATCCTTTATTGGGACACTACAAGCTCAGGAACAAAAAAAAATCAACCGACATTATGATCATGCTAAGAGGACAGCTCTGTAACCTGATATCCTCCAATGTCAAATAACATCAATACTAAATGCAAGAATCAGATATTTTAATTAAATTAGGGGTGCACAGCTTACACGCCTGTAGTTACATACTGAAATCTTAGTAAATGCATATTTAAATTATCATAGCTGGGCAGAAAGCATAGAAAGACCAAACACACACCATTCATCACAAGATCCCTCATATTAAAAATGTGAAATTAACATTTATAAAAGGGTGTGGCAGGCTGTTAGCCAGTGTTCGACAGGAGGGAACAGCTGCAGGGAATTGGTGTCTCGATGAGGTGCCATTGTGAGAACTCGTCATATTGAAAGGCGTGCCTAAACTGTCTTAAGAAAGGGAACAGCCCTCTCTGAAAGCTGAAATGTGTGTTGGAACAACATACCCTGGACAGTCGGGCGCATGTGTGTTCGCTGGGGAAGAGGCTTGGCCGAGCAGCTGACTGCTGACAGCCACAGGTGGCACAGAGCTGCAGAGAGAGCAGCCGGAAAGGCAGTGGTGGCCGTCAGCTAAGCGCCGCTGGCCACAGGTGGCACAGAGCTGCTGAGAGAGCAGCTGGAGGGGCAGCGGTGGCCGTCGGCTGAGCGCTGCTGGCCACAGGTGGCACAGAGCTGCAAAGAGAACAGCCGGAGAGGCCGCGGTGGCCGTTGGCTGAGCGCTGCTGGCTACAGGTGGCACAGAGCTGCAGAGGGAGCAGCAGGAGGGGCAGCGGTGGCCGTCGGCTGAGCGCTGCTGGCCACAGGTGGCACAGAGCTGAAGATAGAGCAGCTGGAGGGACAGCGGTATATGTCCTGCTGGAGAAGCGGCTGGTAAAGGGCCATGAAGGTGTCCGGGTTGTGTGTTGCATGGCTGAAGTCGCCAGGGAGACTGTAGAACAAGCAGTCGGCTGGAGGAGTGAGAACACAAGTGAAATGAGTCCAGTCCTTGAGGAGCAGTAGAAGCAGTCAGGTAAGGCCACTAGCGAAGCAACAGAGCTGGACAGCGAATCCGCTGGGTGCTGCTGAAGCCCGAAACAAGCATTTGTGGAGAGAAAATGGACAACTGTGCATTCTTCCCTGGAGGGGAAAAAAAACATACAGGAGCTATGATGACGTAGGGAGTTAATGTGCTCAGGTAAGCAAATACGCAGGTGGGTCCAGTATATGACAGTATATGGCAGTAGAGCCGGAAGTGCAGAGATCGTTCCCCGGTGGTCAGTCAGACTGCAGCAGGTCTTCTCTCCTGTCTGATCCTGCCAACAGTATGAATAACTGAAAGATGGTTTAAGAAATACTGTGAGAGTATTGTGAAAGAACAGTAAAGTGACAGTACTATGAAACCAATTAAAATACGACAAGTTGCTGGTGTACTTATGAGTGAAAATACTGTGTAAGTGAATAGAGAAGAAGATTCAGACAGGTCCATAACAAACTTACTTGGTAAGGGTGAGGCAAGTCTCTCACAAAGGGTTTTATATAGTTCAATGACACATCATGACTTTCAGTGCAACTATTACTTCAAAGTACGCCATTATTTTATTAAGTGAGAAAGTGTGTACAAAGAAATAAAACTGATCACATACTCATTGTAAGAATATATTAAGGCAAAAAACAAGCAGAACAACTTAATCCCCTGCAGGGTCTTTGCGCAAAGAAACACTCTCAACACTGAGACACCCACATTGCCCTTCTCCAGGAACAGCTATTGAACAGGGGTTTCAAACTCATTTGCTGTGGTGGGCCAGATTTGATTTTTCAACACCAACAGTGTTCATACGTTCCATAAAATTACTAAAATACTGGATGCAACCATTACGTAGTACTTAATTTTGGTGTTTAACAAAAAATAGCACCCTTTAATGCAATTAACAGTGACTGCATCTTCACTAGATTGACAGCCTAGCAAAACATACTCACTACCCTCTAAGTATAGGGTGTTTTTTCAACAATATTACACATGATTATTTAAAATATCATTCTGGATAGGTTTTGAACTACTTTTGCAGTCCAAGGTCCAACGCGGAAAGCCTAAAACAGGTGGGGTAAGAGGCTGGTAAACAGATGATCAATGGGATTTTGCATTTTTTACGCTGGTTAATTAACATCAAGGTAAATCATTAGAAACACAATAAAGTTTAAACATTCAACAGCCACAGACATTATAGATAGAGAAAAGGGAGACAGGGAGGAAGGATGACAAAGTGAGACAGAAGAGGGAGAAATCAACATCACTGTCACTCATATCTTGTGTCATGTGAGAGGACCTCATTCTGATCACTTTGTGTGACTAGATTCTTGTTCAGTAACATGAAAATACTTATTGAGAGCCTGCTGTTTTATTTAAGGAAATTCTGATTTCCTTTATCGCGGAACTGTCATGCTAAAAATGTCCTCTCCTGGTTTGGTGGTACATTTATAGAATAGGGATATTTGATTACCATTCACTTTTGGGCATCTACACTGTAGGAAGGGATTTAGGCCACTGTAATATATAGATATGAGCATGTTGTGTAACAGTGTTTTGCAATTATCTTATTGTTAGTTCATATTTGTACTGCCAAGTTTTAAGCCAGATTTATTACTCTATGTTTACTCTATTTATAACTGTGCATAAAAAGAACATTATTTCCAGACCCCGATATTTTGTAATATCATACAGTAATTGTGATTACTGTACACTGTATAAATCTCACAGTTATGTTGAAAAAATATTGTTGAGAAATCCCACTTAATAAATAAGCCACTTCACACTAGGCTTACCAATATCTAAATATTTAACACTACATTTGTCCTACAATAATGTATTTAAATACCTCTTTTTTCTCAGCATGAGGCTATTTTTGCTAAAATGAAGGCACTCCCTTCTGTAGCCACTTCCACTGTAATCTTAATTGGTATTTTTGTCACTAGCCATCCTCATTTTTAACATTATGCTGCCAAACAGTTCTTCAGGTGAACAGAAACAAACAAAATGACACTGGATGGTTTTCTACAACTTGGGCATGAGATGGAAGCTTTAAAGTAACAAGAATTCAAATTCTGTTATGCAGAATTTTACATTATGGACAGTTTTTGAGGAATTAAGTACCTTTGCAAACCAAGGGGTGAGTGAATTGGTTATAATTGGTGAATTGGTTATAATTCAATATAGTGAATTGGCACAATTCACAATTTAGTGAATTGGCAAACTGCAGGAGTGAAATACAAATTATACAGGCTCTGGGATTCGTAATTCATCTGTTTACTATAACCGAGGGACAGATCGAAACTAACAAAGCGAGCAATGAGTGCGAAGCATCTTACTTTATTTCGTATCATCAGAGTTTTAATGTAACATTACCTGGGTAACAGAATCATTAGGCCAGGTTAAAGAGATGATGTGTGATAAACAGAAAATGCAGAACACAATTTGCTAGATATGCACAAATCAAAAACAGCACAAACAATCACTATATTAATTGCTATATCTTTTTCTTGTCAACTTCGACCGTATAACCATATTGTATAACCTTCTATTTGTTTGCCTTTTCAATTGCTTCCCGCATTGTCTAGAAGATGGAAATGATAAGTCGATATACAGTATAGTAAAAGCCTAAGTCTTTTTCATAAGTAGCCTCTTCCAGCTCAGCATTTCCCATCTTGGATTTGTACTTTATATTTTTACTACCTGCATACAAAACCCTAGATTTGTCAACATCATTTGCCATGTGCTTGCCTAGTCTTAAATTTTATCTTAATAATTTTATTTCATTTGCTGCTTGTACAGGTTAGCTAATAGTCCAAGCTTGGTAAGGTCTGCAAATGTGACAAATTTATTAACTATTTGGAACCTAGAATGTTTAAATAAATTAGCAAGAGCAGTGGTCCTAAGCAAGGTTCCTCTGTTACTCCACTAATTATATCACTCCAATTTATTCTAAGACCCATAAAATAATTTCACTGAGACCAATGGTGGTTCTGTCACTGAGATTGTGGCAAAATTTGAAACTGTTTGTAGGAGTGTCTGTACTGGTCGTGCATTGTCCGTATTTTCCTACTCTTTTAACATGCTCCTGTCAAACTATGTCTGCAACAACATCAAAAAGGGACACCTAGAAAGGACAGAGTTAGAGGACCACGGGAAGCATTGTGTATGTGAAACTGAGAGTAACATTATCAAGGGCACCTGCTTCCTGTGTGGGCTATTCAGACAAGGAGGGAATGTATCCAGGGCAATGACTCTGAACAAACGGGCCGAACAAATGGGCTCAGCATAGCGGATTGCACTACTTCACACCCCGCAGAGTGAGACTTCATGTGAAGAAAAGCCTAGATCACGAGCTTAACGAAAAACCCAAATTTAGCACACAAAAAAAGCTTACCGAAGAGACTGGTCCAGCGTCATTCCAGTAAAGTCAAAAAATGTGAGGTACTCTTCGGCTACCATTTTGCTGAATTCATTGCTGCGGGGAAAAAAAAACAACCTTATATAGTTTCTACACAGTAACCTGGACAGCAAACCAAAAGTGGCATAGTGTCAGGGTTCTTCACATCCTATTAATGCTCAGCACAAGAGAAAAGTTGTTAATTTTGCTTGAGGCTTTTACAGTAAGTTGCTGACATTTTAGAAAGTATTACTCAACACCATTATAATTGTGATAGAAAACTACTTGGTACATAAAGCACACACAGATGCAATGTTTGGAAGCAACAACCCACTTTCACAGGAATGGGGAGTGGAAAATATATTGTTCATCTTCCTTGACTTCTGCATGAGTTAACAGATTGGCCTGTCTGCAAATATAACCTTCTCCTCTTTAGAAATATGTCACAGACACTCAAGAGATACCCTACTCTAATGTATGATGACTCTTCAAAATGTCACCTCTGCTCCAGAGGAGCTGCACAACATGGAAGAATCTGTTCCCCAGCAGACCAAATACAGGAACTTGCATGCTGAATACCAAACCTATCCTTTTCTATTTATGTATCATGTTGTGGTGTATTGGTTAGCACTTGGGCCCTGGGTTCAAATCTGGACCTGAGGTGCTATCTGTGCGGAGTTTGTATGGTCACCCCGTGTTGCATGACTTTCCTCCAAGTGCTCCAATTTTTTCCCACGGCCCAAAGACATACTGGCAAGTTAATTGGCTTCTCAGAAAACTGGACCTAGGTGTGAGTGTATCTGTGTGTGTTCTGTTATCGACTATAATCCCATCCAGGGTCTATGCTTCTTGCTGGGATAGGCTCCAGCTCCCACGCACCACTGAACTGAATAAAGCAGTTAGAAAATGGATGGATGTACAGTACAATGTTAGTGAACAGCAAATAGAAAATATACAGCAGCAGCTCCAACATGATCGTGTTCTTACTCCTTTAGAAGAAATAGAATTTAAAGGGGTTCCCGGACAGATGTCCAGAATCACGGGTTGTATGGGGTCACGCAAAAACTCGAGTGTGACTGGGAGTAACAAGTAACTGGACACCACCGAAATAATGAGTGTGATTAGTCAACCAGGGCTCTCTCGGTTCCTGACAGCAAAGCAACCCCTGCAACTTTCCGGGTATTTACCAGTTTTCTGTACCATCATGTCCTCCGATCGGTGCTCAATGTCCTGCACAGGTACATAACCTGTGATGCGTCTAAAGATCAGCTGCTCAAAGTCAGAGACATCTGTTTCCCCTTGCCCTGTGTGCGGTTACAGGGTCATAGCCACGACAGGCGTTTCCAAATTGAGTGGATCCAGAACAAAAATCAGCTTGAGATTCAAAAGTTTAAATAAAGATTAAATGGATTTTACCCCCAAATGATGATGATTGCAAACTAAAATGATTACGCTTCTAACACTTTTCAGGCAATTATTTTGGTAACTCATTAACTCTGTACTAATACTATTGCAAATGAATTACATCTGATGATAAACTGTTTGAACGAGATAAACTATTAAAAGCTTTTTTTTAAAAAACATGTCATGATAAAATGATGCCAGCTGGAGAAAACCTTACCTCACAAACTGTAGTTCTCCCAAAAGAAGGACACATTGAGCCACAATTAAGTGCACTGTATATGCTAGTAACTCCTTTCTAATTTGCACAAAAAGTATAGCAATAAAACCTGTTCTTTAAAAGGGGTTTTCTAAAGTAACTCATATAAACCTGTTAACAATGCAACACATCAGAGTACTTAATTTACAACTGTTACTCACATCCGTAGAGAGCTTGTATCACCATTGCAACAGATTTAAACTTCTGCAATTCATATTCATTCAGAAAATGATAGGGTGATTATGACCTCTATATTTTATGTCCTTTACAACATAACAGAAAATATCAGAAAAACTACAAACACATTTCTTTCCAAATACTGTATGACTGAAGCGATTTTGGCAGCTTGAGGATGGAAATGTAATGTATGTATGAAATGGTTAGCGGCTATTTAAATGACAGTAGTCACATAAAATGGCCTAGCTCTCAATAATGTCAGAGTCACCTTTAATAAAACAAAGCACCCTTTAGTCTGTTTCTTCTTTATACCATACATATATAACATATAATTTTATTTTTTTCCTTTCTTTAATATATGTTATGTATATGATATGTTGGAACAGATTGAAGAACGTTCTTCTGCAAATCAATCCCTTTAACGAACAAATGCTTAGGAACAAGACTAGTTCCTCTTATTTTCCAATGATCAACAACCAAAGGGATAAACTGACAAGAAGTGGTATTAAAGCACAGGTGCGTGAATGCAGAAATGTGCTGTAATCATGTCATATAAAAAACATTGTGAAGATTCCTCCCTTGTCAGGCATAACCTACTGATCATTATTTTGGAATGAAATGACAGTAAAGAAAATCACAAGAAAGATGGGAAGCAGAATTTTCTCTCAAAAAGAAGAGGTGAAAAGGTTAGAGAGGAGGACCACATCAGGGAGCTGCAGAGGATAATTCCACGCTGGGAAGTAAAAAAAAAGAAGACACTTCTCAGCTCTAGAATCCGTTTTAGTTGTGGGAGGTGTGTGTGGTGATCACATCAGAAGAAGGCTCTTCAGCCAAAAGCTGTCTTTTTCTTTCTTTTTTCACTTCTCAGTATGGAATTTATCTCCAATTGTTCCTTTGCAGCTCAGAGGATTTTGTTTGACAGGATGGTGATTCTGATTCTTAATCATTCTGTTGATTTTCTCTTCTTTCATTTCTTTCCAAAATAATCATGAAAAGCCTAGTTTATCCAAACAGAGCCAGAGCACACTTAAGGAAAATTGTTCAAAAGGAAATCAGACATCTTAAAACCTGATTCAGTAAGTCATGAGCACAGCAGAAATTTGGCCCAATGCACAGTCTACCAAAGCTGATTATAGAGCATTGCAGCTCTGATAAAAATGAATCAATATAAAGAGGTAGTTGGCCAACATCACTGCTACCCATGAAACCTATACAGTATATTAATAAAGAACACAACCTCTCTTTTTTATAATGCTCTCAAGACCAGATTCCAGGAATTATACTGGAGACTGATTCTTATTTTCTTTGGGAGTAAAATATACTGTAGCAATGACATTGCAAATTTTAATTGGAAATTTGAAAGCTACAGTATATGGCACAGCATACTTCTCAGCATGAATACTGACCTGCAGCATCAGGATACAGAGACATTCAGGGAAACAAAAGAAAACTGCTTTCATTTACACACTGAAATAACTTCTGGCAGCAGTGTTATTACAATAAGAGAAGAAAATGTGTTGTGAATCTATGGATTTGGAGTAATATTGTATTACCTTTAAACAAATCCTACAAACCTGTCACTTAATTTTTGATTGATTATTTTTTGGGCTAAACATCCCTTTTAACCTTCAAAAGTATTAATTAGGTCACTTAGCCTTCAACAGCCTGAGAAGATCGATTGCCAGCTGCAAGCCTCATAAAACAAGCTGCAATCTTAAGAACAAGATTACTTTTCTGCTCAAGCTGACATCTGGCTAAATTCTCATTCTTTGTAAATAAAGTAAAAAGCAATCATTTTTCTAAATAAGTTGTACTTAATATGCAAATATAAAACACTTGGTTAAAGATTTGATAGCCTAAATAAGGCTATCAAAATGATCAAACTTCATTCACAATTATATTTTACAGCAATTTCAATACCTAACCATCAAAATAAAATAAAAAATGCTTTATATCTCAATAAACTTGATAATTAAGTAATGCAATGCCAAAATGTACTACATTTAGTACAATGCCGTCTGCAGTATTCAATCTTATTTAATAGCATAAAATCATATAAATTCCTCTTTCAATTAAAATGTATAATTACTACCACTCACAAAATACACATTGGAGGCATGCAAGGAGTCACAGCGGACTCCAGTGAAGGTTGGAGATTAATTTAATTGCAACTAAATTGGCCACTTCCGGAGAGGAGGCACACAAAGTGTATTTCCCAAAGTGCCCTGAATTACTGCGGTGTTACAGAGAGTTTCACAGTCTGAGTCCAGCCATGTCATTGTCATAAATTGGGGTTTAAGATTCTGCATTCTACTTATGGTCCAGTGGCTATTTTTGATGATGTCATCCTACCTTTCAGCTGTTTCTGTGGTGTCACGTACAACAGCAGGTGTCTGTTTAAAATTCCCCCAAGCCAGTAGTAATAAACCCCAGGACAGAGTCAGATTTCTACAATATGGTTCCTTGCAAAAGTATTTACTCCTTTGCTATGGTGTCCACTTTGTAAAAATACAAAATTATGTATACACATTTTGTAAACTTAGTATTTTATTCAAAATCTGAAAACTTAAAACAGAAAATATCTCAGGTTAAGATATGTACTGTAATACTAAATGCCAGAAAATGCCGAACAGATAAAAATTAACTATGTTGATTATATTGTAAGCAATCAGACCTTTGAACTCATTATTGTATGTCAACAATTACCCTCACAAAACTTTTTGGGTAAGTATCTACCAACTGTGCACACTGATGTGATGGTTGTTTTGCCCATTCTTCTGAGTATGTTTGCTCAAAACTCTTCAAAGTTGATTGAGGAATGCATTGGACAGCAGTTTTCATGTGTCTTTCCACACATTCTCAAAACGATTTGAATTTGAATCAGGATATTGACTGGGCCACTCAAGAACATTTACTTCAGTGTAACTTTGGCCTAGGGATTTAACAACAAGTGGACTCGAAAACTGCTGTACATAATGTAAGCAATAGACTTAGAAGTTTTGATTAAAATATTAGGTTTAAAAAGTGTACATATGTTGTAGTTACAAAATAATGGGACGGCATTATAAAGTTCTGAATAGTTTTCCAAGGCACCATCACTGAGCAATATTAGTATAATCCATTTAAATGTTTTAGTTTAATAAAATATTTGTATGCACAGACAGAATCTAAACAGATTTCATAACAGTCTCTACCACTTGAGCTGTGCACATCACTACTTAATTGCACAGGAAATTTCCTCGTTTGTTTTGATTTTTAGATCTTCCTTGTGTTTATAAACTGTAGAGCTCAATTTAAATGATACACAAATATGTGAATGTGTCAATCTACAGGTTTATCTTAACCATCTGGCCATCAATATCACTGACACACCATCAGCTCAAATAAAACTGAAGGGAAAACAAAAAAAGTTCCAACATAAAAAGTAAACAGCATCTGAGAACAAATACAATCCATTAAGTATTACATTACAGGAGTGGGGTACACTTTGAAAAGAGCATAGATTATTTGTTAAGCAAAACCATTTTGATTTTTAATTCTGTATGTCAATGATACCTTATACTGTAGATAGTGCTGGATTGATGGTCTCACCCACTTTAGTATTATTAAGACTACCAGCCTGTCCCATCTACTTTCCTTTAAAGCTATAATCACTGCTGTTAAATTATTTGCTGTCTGATGCATTAGATCATTATTTGATGATGTATCCATCTTTATTTAAAAAGCCCAATATTGATAAAAGACTAAAGAAATGATTTCACTCCCACTTTAAACAGGTCAAAGTCAGTACAGTACATCACTTTTTGCATACAAACACTGCTGCAGGCACACCCAGACATTAATAAAGACTGCAAAGGCAGCTGCAAGGATTTATGTTTGTATTAAACAGACTTTACTTAAAACTAATTTTAACACAAAGCAATGACACAAAGCAATCAACCTACTGCAATAACAAAATAAAAACTGTTTGTATGGAGTGAATGGTAACCGATTTGATCTGTATGAATAAAAGGCATTGAGAGAACCAGTTTTGTTAGAATGCACATTTAAAAATGGCTGTTCAGCAGGTAACTGAATCATTAGGAAGGGGGATTTTGAGTCACAACACACTGAGATGCCCCTAAATGCCTTTACTTCCACTATGTTCAATTCTGGACACACAGCATCAGATAAATTATTTATTTAGTGTATTCACTCATCACACTTTATAAACCCACTACTTGATGTCAGATTTTAACTGGTCAAAGAGACCTCACACTTTTACACCATGGCAATGTTATGAAGTGTTTGCTTCATAATTGCCAAATGGATCAACATTCTGATTTAATCCAGTCCTAGAGTTTTACCCACAGCCAATATCTTATTGTAGTTAATCTACAGTTAAGATTACCGAGTATATATTTGTCTACAGCTGCTATTTACACACTCACCAAAGTTTGGTGCAGAGACCTGCTGCAATTAGTCATATTTGCATATAAATAATCACACTCCTACACCAATGTATGATGTACTGCACTATACAGTATGTATATACGTTACTGTCCCTTATATGGTAATGACAGTACTAATGCATTGGTTTTAAAAAATCTAAATATCACTGGTCAACAAAAAGAAACAACAGTAATCACAAATTTATAGTAACCTATTAAAATAAACAACATGAATCCCTCCACTATGTTCAGCCCACACTTTCATTCTCTGCTTCCATACTTATCACAAGCCATTGTAATAAAACAGGCAATAAACCTGTCAGTGAGACTGTAAAGTCATTTCTAGTCCACCATCCCCCATGCTGTCCACACAGAACCTGGAGTGTTTCTTTACAGTATAAAAACAAGACCACACTGAGATGCAGATGCTGGGGAGTGGGTACTTGGGCAGGCAGCACAGAGAGTTTCTTCACTGGCTATATTTGTCTCACGATCCAAGTCTGTTGCGCTGCTAATTTCAAAGTTGAGCCTTCAGCTCAGTTTTATCCCACTCTCCTCTTCTTCCATAGAGGACCCCATCGACCACATCACATCACAAATACGTAAATTGATGAAAGTTAAATTCACAGATTTCAAGCCTCTACTGAATATTTGTTTACTAGTGTCAATGATTAAACCTTAATGTTTAATGTTTAATGTTTAAGGTCCACCTTGATGTCAATGAGGAAATGAGTTCTCACAGCTGGAAATTACAGCAAAGGTCACACTTACTTTTTTCCTAAGTGCTTTGCAACATCCGAGCGCCTGAAGCCCTCCAAGTTGAAGAGCCGCCGGGCCAGTCTGCGGGCAGCCTCCTGGTCGCTCTTGTTGCTGTTGTTGAGAGTGTCAGTGCTGCCCTTCAGCCTCTCAGTGCTGCCCATCTCAGAGTCCCAGTCCGAGAACACTTCCTTCAGCCCAGCATCGCTGCAAGGAGAGAATGAGGATCAGCTCAACAACCACCACCCAGAGAAGTGAGCAAAACGACTGGGGAAATGGACCAAGTAGGTAGCTGCATCAACATGCGTAAGCTGCAAAGGAACAAAGTAAAGTAAAGGTTTATTCCATGCTGAAAAGAAAAGAAACACAACGTTTCAGCTGTGAAGCCTTCTTTGGGTGTGTGGGGAAATGGTAACTTGCTTTTAGTCAAAGAGCGACTAAAGGTGATCAAGACAGATTCACAAGATCGCCAGATATCGAAGGAGAGCTGATACAATTAAACCACAACGTATGTAAACCATAACCAAAGCAAAACTGGAAATCAATTTTAAATGGAATGCAGAACTACACACAACTCTTTAGTGGCAATTTCAGGAAGATAGAGCGATCATAGAGGAAAAAAGGATAGCTACCAAAATAGAGGAAAAACATGCCAATGTTCAGTTTCAAATTTACAGACCCAATCCGAGACAGATCAATTCTTTAAAGGTTTGGCCAGTTTCCATATAGTGGCAGACACAGAGGTTGGCATTTCACATTATTTCACTTCCTATTTATGGTGCAGGATGTTACAAATCCTGGTACAGGATGAGTACAAATAGGGCATACACATAGTGAAATTCTCTGCAAACTGTCCAGGTGTTCCTGTAAAGATTAATGCTCACTTCTAGTTCCTCCAGTACATGAAAATGTACTGATAACATGTTCAAAATGAGATCCAATATCATTGGATCTGTTAGCCAATGTACTGTACTTGTTATTCTATTAATGGATTACCAAATATTCCTCAAATTCGATTTATATCTTATTTCATTATAACAGAATTATCAAATTATCAAATTTTGTAAATTATCTTTCCAAAAGCAGTGGGAAAAGGCTACAGTTCAGCTAGCAGTGAAATGTACAGGACTAAATATTGTCCCTGCAGCAAATTGAGGGCATGAGCAACTGAATACACGTAAATATAAAAATGTATGTTTGTCGCATCTGTCTGTGACTCCTTTAACTGTAACAGACTCTTAAAATACAACTCATATCAAAAGTTGTATTGTCACAACAGATTTCCCTACGAATCATTCTAAGCAAAGCCTAATGTCGTTCACTGGAAGAGCAGCTGCCAAGCTGTAATTTCTTAGTAACTAGACAGGTGCCATGATTATATCAGAAAGCATTTTTGAAAAGACTAGGCCAACTGCAAATCAGCATGAACAAAGGTTAGGATGAGCACAGAGGCTGTATATGGTTATTTCTAAAATAAACTCTGACTATGAATCAACATTTCAATAATCACAATACTGTAAAAAAATAACTGGAGATTGAGAAAATACACTAATTATTCATAAGAGCAAAGAGCTTTTTAATTTACATATTATTTTATATTTCAGGCCATATTTAGCCCTATTCTTGTCTATTTAGCCATCTAGAAGGATATATCTAGGAAGGAAACTTAAAAAAACTAATGAAGTATTCAAAGTCATAGTACTCTTATTACAAATACCTCTTTGAAAATAAATTCACTTTTGAAAACAGACAGGAACAGTACTTAGAAAGCACAAAAGGCAATAAAATAAACTGTTCATAAAATAAACTTTTTTTTTAAATTGTGCCATTGATGCTGACCTTTCAACTCTACCGGAGCTTTTGTTTTTATTGTTCGCTTCAATACAAACCAAGTAGATTTCAAAGCTAACAGAACACAATACCATTTTCTCTGCAATGGCAAAGGGGATCACAATATTGACTCTATTTAACAGAGGCAAATAAAAACTGGCTATATAAACAGGCTTTTTTTTTCTTAACAAGAATTAATAATTCATTTGCTCAGCCTTCTAGTTTTCAGTGCCTGTTGATAAAAAGACGACAACCTGTAGCTCACTGTAGAGGGAGGGCACACCTGTGATGTCCAGATGAGACAATCAGCAGTTTGTATTATTTCACTTGCAGGCAAATTGTTTAACCTCAACAGAAATACCTCAAACGTGACAATCTCAATGAAAAATATTTTGAAATGCTCAGCTGCAAGGCACATCAGAAGTGGAAAAAAAACGCAAAATGACCCAAGCCTTGCACCTAAAATCAAAAAGGCTGTATTAGAGAATTTGTCACCACTCACACAGACCAGAAGCCTTCTTTTTCATGCGTCACTCTAGCTCTGAGGAGTTTTACCCATAGACTTGCTCTCACTGAAAATTCCCAGCACACAGAGTTAAACCTGAATGATTCAGAGGACTGCCTCAAAGAGCAACTGGAAAAACCTCCCCAAATTTGAAATGGGAGGGCAAAAAACAGAACAATTCTCCAAACAAGGTGGCTCAAGTGCTTAAAATAAAACTTGACAGAGATGTTGATCTGAACTCCCAAGTTCTTGCAAATGCAGATCTGAGATAATACAATACATTTCATACTTTACATGTAGTCAAGTACTGGCAGAGCAATGATTGTTCGATATAGTATGATTTTAACAGTTTCCCATCATTAAACAGGAACTGCAACACTATTTTTATATTTTGGGGTTAGAAAGAATCAGCACTGATAAGTGCATTTCAAATGTACACAGTAACTTGTAAAACTACATCACAAAAGTTCCTAGAATGAACAGCGCCATATTCTGCAATTCAGAATGAGGCAACAAAACGTCCAGTGATGTGAAGCGGCCCCATTACATTGTAAACAAGCGGCAAGTGAATACATCTAATTTAATCCAATAGAAATATCGCTCTCAATTTTGAGACGGTTTTGCCGACAAATATTACTTACATTACTTATTGTACATTCAGAAAGTTGACGATTTTGTGCTTGATTCGAAATCTGTGAAATGTATCTATACCATCAATTAAGTTATTTTTGTTACCAAGATTTAATGACTGATCTAAGAAATTGGGACTGCAGATCCCCATTAATGGCCGTGAGTGAAAATCGACACCAAGATGAAAGCAATTAGCCAATTTAAGCTGACATCTGACAATCTAAAACAAGGTCAGGGTGAGGGGAATTTATTTCCAAGTTTTTTTATACTGCTTACTTCGACACCACTTACTACAGCAGCTGCCACTAAATGCATATACACATTTTCAGAGAAGCCCAGATTCTTAGCAATAGACTTATTTCCTAACTTAGACTTGCACGATAAACATTTTACAAAATGAGAAATTGGCCACTTGTAGCAAACATAGCACAAGTGTAATGTATACATTTGTGACTGAACCATAATCTACTGTATGAAAACCAAACTTCCAAGTTCCAAGTTCCGTCTAAATATTACTTAACGCCAGAAACAATAGTGTTTGAACTACATTATGGAAATGCCAATGCAAGTCACAAGAGCAATACATTAAATAGTATTATTCCACACTGAAATGTCAGAGGTTTACTGACCTCACTGTTTTATTAAGGTATTTGTCAGTGCTGGGCTGACAAAACATCAAAGATTACACTTTAGTGCCACCTGTTGACTGTTTATGCAAACAGCAGCAAAATTAGGTTTTACTTTTTCCTACAATTTCATAGCTACCTTTCATATAAAACATACAACTAAAATAATGCACTCATTATGTGAACAAAATCCGTAGTATACTAGAACAAACTGGGCAATTGTTCACGTTGAAAAAATTGAACTTGTCTGTTGCACTGTTTGATGTGAGTCAAAATGTTATATAGTGCCTTTCAATACCATTCTCACAGTAAACAGAACATACAATAAACCAGATATAACTGAGACATTTAAAATAAAACAGATTGTGAATTAAAGGCCACCAAAAAGCTGAATTTTGAAAGCATCAACGGAAGCTGCATTTTTAATATGGTTAGGACGTAAAATCTCAGTGCCTTAAGATGTGATGTGAACTCTTTGGAACAATAAGGGGCCTAGAGAAAGCTGAACAAAATGAGAGAACTGGGACAAGTGGGGATAGTAACTTTTGAAGGTACACAGGACACATGCAGTGCCAGATAGGACAACAAGAAGTTTCAAGTCTGTCCTGTAAGAGACTAGTAGCCAACGCAGGTTTCTCAGGACAGGAGAAATATGTTCCGATGTTCCAGTCTTGACAGCACTCAAGCAAGCACTTTCTATAGTTTCTTTCAAAGAAAAAAGGATCAAGTGCTGGACTTTCAAAATCTAAATCACCATTCATAATTCATACCAAACAACTACAAAGATCTTCTGAAGAAAATTAAAGAAATCAGCAAAAAGCGGGTGATGGCAGAGTTCTCTCCTTTGTCATTCGGCATGGTGGCAGCAGGAGTATGATTCACACAGAGGTCTGCAAGCACAGACACAAGCCTTCAGAAAGGCAAGCTCTCAAAATCTACAGTAATCTCATGCCTTGCCTTACCACCTTATTATGAGCCTGTGAGCTCACCAAGGTCTATTCTGTAGCTCACTTACAACTACTAAAACAGCAATGGACAGCAATTCTTAATCCACACTTTCATGCTAAAGTCTATATTGGGCTAATGATTTTAATCATATCGCATGTACTGTTGACTGAAACTAACATGGACAACCGCAAATAATGAAATAATGGAACTGGAGATTCCAACTGGAAATAATGAAAAAGGTTTAAAGAACATCCAGTTTTAAATTAATCAGGAAGGGCAGCGAGTGCAATTGCTTAATGTCTTGTATGTTGTGGTGATCATTTTGGCCGCTGTCGTGAAACAAAATGAAATGAAAAGGAACTTGAAAAGACCGTAACAAAAAATAACAATTACAAGGCTTCTGCCGAGATGGTCCACCAAACAAAAAACACAGGGCACTTGGGGAGATCTGAGGAAGCATGTCTTGAATACGCAGCACTAAATAAAATTCATTTTTCAGTGCTGCTCTGAATGTTTGACCTTTTTGCACGAGTACTGATTGAAAAAAAGCAGATTCTTCTATGCCTACACAACCCCTTACTGCCACCCTGCTGCGTGGCACACATCAATTACAAGACATCGCAGCAGGAAAGCAGCCACACAGCCCAGCTAAAGGAGGTTTTACACCT